CTGTTTGTCGGCTCAGTGCGGCAGCCATTTAAATTTAAATGAAGCCGCGATTATTTAAATCGCGGCTTCATTTCCCTTTGCCAATCAGCCTAATCTACATGGCTCCATTGATGGAGCCATGTAGTTTAGACACACCCTAAGGTGCCACAGGACTCGTTGTTTTTGCAAATATTTTAGGATGTCATCTGAATCTATTATCATCATAATTATCCCCACATTATGGAGAGTGCTTGATTCCAGCTCAATACCTTTCAGCCCAGGATTGAAATGGGCTTTGCCGTGGTGTCCAACCAGTTCTGAAGAAGTAGCCGCTATAGTGGCTACCGCTATAGCAAACTAGCCATGTTATTCTGAACGTGTAAATAATTGTGTGAACCAACTAGCCACACGCAACCTGCCAAGTAGCCACATGTGGCTAGTGGCTAGCGTGTTGGGCACCACGGATCTAGAATATTGTGTATAGATTGCTAAATTCGGTCTATGTGCAGCTTTGCCGATGCATCAAATGATGCAAAACCAACATTGTTGTCCCTTCACATCCTGGACAGAAGCAACCTGCTTATCTATGCATGAGCCCTGCCAGCTATGGGGGGATGTCTCTAAAGGGGCCATTGGTGAGTCAGAAAGCACAGGAGAACATCAGAATCACAGCCTTAGGCCACACCTGGAACTGTTTTATTGTGGTTTTTCAGGATCAAGGCCTGTGGAGAATGTGGTTAGCAGCAGCCCAAATAGGTTGGCCAATTACGTATAGCCTATATCTCCCCCTGCTGGGCGTAGTATGTATTCACAGGCCTCTTTACAATGCCCTACCAGAATGTATCCCTTGTGTCCCACTTATTTAGTAAGCAGGGGCGGCCCTAGACTAGCTGCCAGCAATTGGCGAACCATGCAATCAGCACCCCCCCCTCCAAGCCCCTCAATGATATTGCGCCACCATTTGGCGCCCCATTTAACTTGGCGCCCTAAGCGACCGACTAGTTCGCCTATATGGATAGGCCTCCCCTCAGTAAAGGATTTATATTGCTTTCTCTTGGACTGGATCCCTGGGCTTGCTTGTGTGGACCTGTTTGATGGTTCTGCTTAACTTGACTTCCTTCTCAGCCCAATTTCCCCCAAAGGAAAAAGCGAAATATGGATCAACCTAGTTAATGGAAAATGTACTGTCTTGTTATTCCTTTACAGCATGATACAGGTGTGAGTATTAGAAAAGCAACTTATTTACTGGAGTGATATCTATTGTCAGGGTCTTTGAGAGACCGTTTTATTTTTGGTTTGTGGATCAGATTTTTACAAACGCAAATTGTCCTAGCGAAACTAAGCCCAGATTCTAATGCCAAATTGTGCTCAAAACTCATCCCAGTGTTGGTGAGGCATCCTGAACACTACCAAACCTTTTAGCAGGAGTTTGTAACACTATCTCAAATGAGGTTAGGTTGCTTCAACACAGCAGCTGACTGCTTTCCCTGTCAGTATTTCACTTGGGATACACTGCTGTGCTCCACCAAAACCTTCCCCTCTTCTTGCAGTTTTGATGCTGAGCTCCATTGGTAATCTAAAGAGACTCTGAAATTCACGTACATGGTTCTCCCCCAGGATGTGTCTACACTGCATTTGGAGCTTGAAATAAGCTACGCAATTTGGGCTAAGGAAATTGCATAGCTTATTTCGAGTTAATTTCAAAATAGTGTATTTCAACACAACGCCAAATTTTGAAATAGAGTGCTGTTCCAAAATGCCCCTTACTCCTCGTAGAACGAGGTTTACAGGGACGTTGGAATAGTGATCCTATTATATTTTGAAATAACAGACTTGATCATAAGACGCAGAATAGTTATTTCTAGATACTGGAAGTACCCTGAAATAGCTCCGCAGTGTAGACATAGCCCCAGAGTCCAACTCATTCATCAGCCAGTTTTGTAGTTCTTGGCAATTCTGCTCCCTGTAATATGAAGCAACAATCCCCTGAAAGGTCTGGCAAGGGCTGAGAAGCTGGGGCAGTGCTG